TATTTTTGTAAGAAAAAAACATCTGTGACGATAAAATGAATTTCGAAAGGAAGTTGATCTGCAAAATGTGGATGCAACCAACCGTGTCATGAATCTTTGGAATGCCGTAAACTCCGAAGACTCCTGTGCGTGTATTATGAGAGATCGAGGGAATCTTAAATGCTCATTTTCGTTTACCTAAAACCGTCTAAATCGATGAAAAACGAACATCTCAAGCAAGCAAGACTCATCGCTGCCTAAAGGAGCGCGGCCATTGACGGTCCATTGCCCACGCGCTTTTCGCTTTTGCTTTCGTTGTTACCGTCGGAACGGACACGTCTAGGCCGAATACGCCCGAATTAGATAACCGAGTGATAACTAATCGTGCGGCGAAATTGAATAATCCGTTACGAGAGTTTTCGGAGAAACTCCGAAATGGGTCGCCGGTGACGCAGAGTTGGGACCGAACAGGGGGGGGGGGGGGCGTGCGACGAGAGAATGGGTGTCGGGCGAGCTAACTGGAATGTCGGCGAATGCTCCAGTTGCGGTTCGATGCTCGGCTGATGCGACACGTTTTCGAAACACGGGCGCCGGGGCAGCCTTTATGCGCTCGCCGATGTGTTCACGACGACGGTGACTCCGCACGCTTTCCGCCCGGTGACACGCCGAAATTTGGGACGTGCCAAATTTGGGACGAAGTAACACATTATTGAGAACACTCGTTTCGTATAGAATAATGATTTTGAATGTTTGAAGTCTTCATTGTTCACATTCATTGCTTCGTACATGGATAAGAGGTCTGTAACACAATCGCTTCAATAGGTACAAACTGTCTAGTTTTTTAACCCTTACGAAATAGAAATAAGGTCGCAATGATGTGTGTGTGCTATTTTTCATATTTTCATAAAGCTAATTTGGTAATAAGTATATTACTGTTAAAGAAAACCTAAAAACAGGATAAAACAAAAAAGAGTTAACTCGAAACAAAGAAATTAGTGGCTGTCTTGGTGCTAGAACGTTGAGTGCTTGAGGTCGCAGGTTCGGTTCCTTGTTGTGACCGTCAATAAGTTTAATCGTTTTTAATCATAATGCCTTTTAAATCATTATTTATTAAAAGTATGTTTGAGTTGCAATAAACTCGGTGGGATGCGGATAGCAAGTGAATTAGATAAACTATTTATGCAAACGTCAGTGTCGGATGCAAAACGTTATCGCAATGAAAAACAGTCTGCAACGCATTGTATTGGTATTTTTCCTGTTACGAAATTCGTCGAAACCTTCACCATCCATTCTCAGGCAAGAATGCTGTTAGTTTTACCACTGCCAACATTCCTCACGTATGTACGGACGGCTGAAAAACATTTTTACTAAAACTTGCGGATATCCTACCTACATCGCATTACTCACGAATTAGGTAATTTTATATTTTCGATTATGGAGTGAAAAATCTCCCACTCTATATGTGCTTTTCTTCAAATTAATCTGTTTTTTTGTCACATTACTACTATCTTTATTAAGAAACGTTATATTATTAACGAACGATTCGTTTCTGTGTTGTTATCAACTAATAGAGTCCTAAATAACATTTGATCAACGAGAACAAAATTAACTTCAAATATCTCACTCCCTATACAATTTTCATTTGATTTCAAGTTTCCTGATGTATCACCGGAGTCAGAGGTCTAAGGAAGCTATTTCGAACCTAATGCAAGAGTTTTTGAAATCGATTCATAGATGAGGGACTTCTGCGATATATTTCTTTTTCTTTCAATATGAAAAGTTGTCAATCAAGCAGACGATTCACCTGATGTTAAGTGATTACCGCCGGCCATGGAGGTCTATAGCTTCCGAAGGGTTGTAGATGCGTTGACATTAAAATAAGTGAGCCCCGGCTACGTCACATAAAAAAAAAAAACAAATTGAGAGCCTGCTACTATTTTTGAAGTCAGTTAAAAACATGTTAGATAAATCAAAATATGCCTCGTCCGCTATGAAGACATGACAAATTTAGGTCTGCGTTCCGAAATAAGCAACACCTATCAAGAACATTTACTACGTATGAAATGTGCGCAGATTACTCGCTCGTTACATTGGAATGTGCTATCAAACAACCGCATAAAAACTGATTGATGGACAGAGGAAGAGGAAAAACAACCCGCAATAATATAGCAATGGTTGACTCGAAGCAAAAATAATTCGGATAGTTGAATGAAGCTATCGCGACCTTGTTCCCACAAACTGATATGGATTTTTTTTGCTGTTTTTGGAATCCGCATCGTCTGGTGAGTGGGTCCACTTTATTAAAAGCCTATGGGTGTTGCAAATGTACAATGTTTGGCGATTATCACTTAACACCAGGTGAACTGACAGGTCGCTTGCCACATTCTCACATAAAAGAAAATATTGTTCCTAAGATCACATGTCGTTGACGCCCAGCGTCTGTTGATAGAGAACTTGCGAATCACAAAAATATGGCGGACAAAAGACACGTTTTTCATTCTGATATTGGCGGGAGGTGTGAATACAGTGAACCCGACATTTAATACGTACAGTAAGATATTGGGGAATTAAAAATAGAGGTGTTTCACAAATATTTTCCCCGGATCCGAGCCAAGGCACTGCTGACACCAATGGCCCCTCTCTGTTACCAATGGGGACGTCATTATTTTTGCGTTGCTTTATTGCCATTACGGCAGATGAAACAAAATAACCACGATTACGAGATAACAACGATTGTGGCAAGATCTAATCAAACGAAAGTATAATGATTATTACATCAATATGTGTATATATTATTATATATGTGTAGATATTTAACTTTTTATTACCCAAAAAAACCAACATACTATTAAAATTAAAACGATCCGATGCAACCTGTAATATAATTCTTTGGCTTCTATAAATAGTAGATAATTCATATGATTATACGATTTATCATCGTGGCATATTATGATTGGCGGAAGAGCCATCAAAAAGATATACGTGGAAAAGCGACTCGCGTAACCTGCACAACGCCAACGAGCCACAAGTAGGCCGAGATGTGATGTTTTCCTGATAGTCTTCTACAGATTCTGCTCGGATTAAGCGATTGAGTATGTCCCGGATGACTGTGTCAGCTTTATGAGATGCGGTACTCGTTTGTGGTGGGTATTGCGATCATATATCGTAAATATAACCAAAATGTATAAGGCGTAACAAGTTCTCATGGGCCAATAACGCAAATGACACTACTATACAACTTGCAAATAATAAACTAGGAACTAGTTCCTATCTCATTTTTAGTAGCTTATTAAATGGTTAATGTGACAAGTGAGGAGTCAGTTTAAGCGCGTCGTGCTGAAGTTTTTATTTGAATATTTCGCACAAAGGAAATTCGATATACGGTGATGGGCTCCCAACTCGATACCTCAACCTCAGTCAGTACTTTTAACTGCAAAGTTATAATGGCAACTCTAAATATGAGCGGATTTCAATCGCACTTATTATTAGCGCTTATGTGTAGACATGATCATTATGGCCATAAGCGCCTTACGTATTGTCCCCGCTCATTACGGGCGCGGGAGAAATAAGGCCAGACCCACTTTTAAATCGGGCATCCGCGAACCGAAGCTCTCGCGGAAATTCCGCGGATTTTTCTCTTATTTTTCATCCCTTTTTATTTTTATTCCGGCGTCGTAACGTTACGCGGTTAACGGGGCTCGGGTATTACGCGCTCGCCTCCCGTTGTGCACTAAACGTCCTTTATTATTTAGCTTCATGAGTTTAACCCAATTTTTTGGCTCGCTGGGGGCCGACACGTCATCGGTGAACAAACAAATCGCTTTGTTGCACCGAAATTCGGGCGCGATGAGATAATTCGACGTATCCCTCCAATGTATCAATGAAATGCATGTACACTTACGAGCTATGTATTCCATTTTTAAACAGATTGAAAATAAAGGTCGTCTAATTAAACGTCATCTGGTAGAGAGCCTCCAACAAGGCATTCCACGCAACGGCCGAGTGAGGTATGCATGAAATTAAAAAAAAAACCGTCACTAGGAAATAATCCCTGTGTTTTACACAGTTTTTTGGCAGAATACACACACAGACTAAACATTACAGACAACACTTTTTTACTCGTGACATTGAACTGCCGCCGCTGTAATTGTTGCAGTAACAGTTCTTAATACAAAGTTCAATATAAGAGTTGTACATTAAAAGTCACAAAAAATCAACATTCATTTTCATTACGGTTTATAAACAACGTACCAAACGTACGATCAAAAGTAAAGTTGATTCATTTGAGTAAGCACGCTAAACGCGTAAACGTTTGCTTCACAACAACTGAAATTTTGCAACTGCAAATCTTTCTAATAATTAACGAAGCGTTCTGCATTGTATCTATATTGCAACTCTTGCTTAAACGTCATTCTAGTACGTAATGGTGTGGCTTCTAGTGCCTCAATAAAAACTAAATACAAGCCGTGGTTGATTTTACGATCGATGAGTATCGCTTCGGTAGCTTTGTTGTGACTAGAATGTTGCATTGTTTGCACAACGGTTGCAACGGTTGTCTGTGTAAATGTGTATGAATAAATTCTTAAGCAAAACTCAGCTTAATAGTCTCCGAAAAAACAAGTTGGCGTTAAACTGTTGACTGCATTGATGGCAACATGTTTTAAGTGGCCATTTCGCCAATTTCGATTGCTCGATGTTTCGTGAGTTCCCCGCACGGGAAAACGCACTGCGATCTAAAATATCTGTTGTAGTTAGTCTTCCCTTCGAAAACATTGCCCGTTACTGTTGCTTAACATTATGCTATATTGCGAGGTCGTTTTAGAAAGATAAATTTCACGTGGACGTTTACCCAGATCCGAGACAATTATCTGTGGGGTCACATGAACAGTTGTCTCGTGCGAGAATGGAAGCCACGGCCCCCAGCGCGCAAGCCAATACCTTGGCAACTGCGCCACGGAGTCATTCACTATGTAGAGTAAGAATTTATTACTATTCGCGAAGGGGGGTAGTGCAACCGACCAATGGTGTACCGATCGGCCGAGGTCAACCGCGTTTTCGTGCGTGGCGCGTCCTCACCTAATATGGCGGCCGCACAAGTTGCCGTACTTACGTCAAACGGGACACCCCTTGAAGTCGCCGACCGCTCGGGGAAGTGATTATTGTTTATTTTAATAATTGTCGCGTCAGGAAGTTGCAGCCGAACGAGGTTCCGTCGCCCGAGGCGAAGTGGGATGGGGCGTGTAGTACTTTGTTCAGAAAAACAATACAGATCGAAGGCTTATAATTTATTTAAACTCTTTCACACATTAGAACATGTTGGCTGGTGAGGCAATGGCTGGTTAGCTCGCTACTAGAACTGTTAAACTTTGAGTCAAAATGATTCTCAGTGGGGCAGTGTGAATCGTGCGCCCCATTTTTACAATAGAGACACATTACCAAAATCCACATTACAAAGTCAAAACTGTGGGCTGATAGTGGATACTAATTGAGTGAACTTTTAAAGGCTGATATGGTGATTTTAATTAGTAATTATCATACCAGAACTTGTATTAAATAGAATATCCTTTATAACGTCATTCTTTCTAATGAATCCGGTATGAACCGTGTTGTGTAAACAACTTCTATTTCTAATAACATCAGCGAATTTTCATCGAATTACGTAAAAACGATTTACGCAGGTTTGTTTTGAACCCAGTTCTCAGTAAAATTCGATGCACGGAGTTTGGTAGCACCGTTAAAATGGCAGAGGTGAAAGTCCTTAACAATTTAAGACTCTAATTGAAAGCTAAATCCGATTGAATGACTTTATATGGAAATTTGAAAGACTTCGGTCGCTTTCAGAAATTGAATAAAATTTTTCATGGGTTCGTTATGATTGATATTTTTTCATGATCTTCCAAAATATTAACATCAGTGAAATAACTGGAAGAAGAACTTTGGTTAGAATATTTTTGTACATAAGATTAAACACTCGTCGCTAATACGGCAGAGCTTTCGTATCAGGAGCTAGGGTTAAATTTGGCAGCCCTCGATTTGAGAGATGCAGGAAATAGGAATGCGCGTAATTTTCCAGTCAAAAATTGTTTTTAACCGACGGCGGAAGCTTGTCCACAATCAAAGAAGTCACAAGTAGTTAGGCAGGAAAGAGTGATATGTAAGGTCGGGTAAATTCTAAAATAGCAATAGGACCAAAGGGCTTTATATTTTTGTTTACGTCTCGCCGATGTTTACTACGGAACTAAGGTTCAGTCAAGATCTGCATTATTTTCGTGTTGTTTGTAAAAAAAACAATGTTCTAGCGCTTGTACGATGCGGCACTTTAACAGAGCTTAAAACAAATAAACTCGTTTGAAGTTATTTTAAGTAATAATCTCAAGCGCCAGCTATGCTACGATTGATTGTTCCAAAGAAAACTTGTCGTCACAGTAATATCAAATGTATTTCAGTAAGATTATCGATTTTTTTTACGATAGACAAACATTTGTAAGTTTATTTCACATTTCCGTATTTATTATTGGAACGTTAATGAAAAACAAAATATGAAAAATACTTCTTTTCAACGGGCTCGCAACTAGAACCATTCTAGTTTATCGAGATAAAATGTACCTACGGTGTGTTCCATAAATTATTTTTCCTCTTTTCATCGACATTATGAGTTTAAAACCTGCTACACGACGAGGTTACAAAATATCAAAATGAGCTGCTTATTTTTGAACGAAATTTTTCTCATTATTGCTTGTCAAAATATATCCTAGAAAAAATATCATCCAAATATATGTGTAGTCAGTTATCCCTTGATCCCATCATAAATTTAGTATTTATGCGTGTTCTTTTAGGTATGTGTGTGCGTGACGAGTCTATGGTTTTAGGACGAGCTTATTGCTTCTTATAATTTCGGCATATCCGCTTATAGTCCAGCGTAATAATCTTTACTTAAATCCCCCATTGAGGTCGGCACGTGCACAACTCCATTGAGACACACAAACAATGCACGCTGTTTATGTTACACATCAAAGTGCTGCGAGATACATTAGATAAACAACCGCCCCACATTTCCTACGCTGCAGTGGAAAAACACTCCATAAAAATCCACATCTCCCGCTGCATTCGTCGATCACAAATCTGGTCATTATAAACCGCCCGAGTTCCAATAAAAAACGTTTAATGGGTATCCTCGGAAATTATTCCCCAATAAAATAATATACGAAATCGGGCATAGGTAAACAGGTAAAAATCTGAGTTAATACGATTTAGGTCAGTGAACTAGAAACAAAGAACTTTGCTTCGAAATATTTCAATTACGCCAAAGTTACGAAATCTGACGGAATTTCTCTAAATTTTTTCTAAATGCATGCTTGCAAATTTTAATTCACACGAACTTGAATATTTATTTCAAAGGAGGCCAACTTGGTTTTCGCATAGTGCGCAACAGTCGCTCATTGAGGCGGGTTCCAAGGTCCTTCGAGCAATGTCCCAACACGGGCATCCACCTGACGGGTTTGACACCGCACGTGTTGAACAATCGCATCGGCTTATGGTTGTCTCGTAGCGTGTTAAATATTAAAAACGGCAAACGGAACGTTTTTTGATAACTGAGATCGAATGTGCAGTGCATTCGTTTAAATCAAATTTGCAACTATATTTTAATTTATAATGACACCTTCATTTAATAGCTTTTTAGTTTATAAGCGCTAAACTGGTAATTTGGGAGTAATTTAAATCTAGGAATGAAGAACTTGGAAACATGAAGCAAACTCATCGATGCATGTTATATCGAAGAGCATTCAAAATAATACAATAGAGATAAATTTCTATCTTGCAGAAATGTGCAGGGACATGATCGATCGGCTGTATGCCGCTAAATTTATAGCCCTGTTTTGGGATTTCATTACCTTTGCAGAAATATGCAGTTTAAATCATTTTAATATTAGACCTGTTATAAAGTGGGCTGTATTCGCATTTTAGCTCCGGTTCAATAACATTATTACCGAGAGATAATAAAATCAGTCTGCATATTTCAGCGTAGAACTGGTTTTCAAAACAAATTATGGGACTTTCAAGTCAATATACAGCGATTGCTCTGAGTTAACCCTATGTAATAACTTGAGATCATCTGAACACTTTAAATATTTCGGCATCCTATATCCCAATCCAGATTTATAAAGCTAAATTTTGTAATGTACATCCCATTTCTATTTTATTTTATGTGAAAAGTTGTCAAGCGAGCAGATGGTTCACTTGATGTTAAGTGAATATCGCCGCCCATGGACATCTGGTACACCCGAGGGTTCCAGATGCGTTGATAACCTTTTGAAAATTGGGCTCCGGCCTCCTCATTCACCAGACCACGAAAGTATTATACTTCCACTTTATGCTGGTCTTCTGCGAGGTCGTGGTACTTACCCGGACGAGCCTGCCCATTCGTGCAATAGCCGAGTCTGCTGCGTGGCCCTACCACCGTGAAAGACAATCCTAGACAAAGGCATCCTCCTGTGCATAAGGTTATTACGTCCTGTCCGCTATGCGATCCACTGCAAATCTATAAAAACGTCCTGCATTTTGTAGATATAACGTTCTCAATAAAATATACGTTCACCGCCTAAAACATATATCAGCATTATATCAGCACTTACGACACAATTTTATAGTATGGCAACACAAGTGCAATGAAATCTACAAAAATGTAAGCGTAAAACGTATTTACCTAAAAATTATGTTTTAGGCAATTTTTAAGTCATAACGAATGATCGTACTGTGAACATTTAAAATTGTTGCCAGACTATGTAACCTAGAGTGGATTCCAAAGAGTGAATCAAAGGTGAAAACCGTCGTACATTACGCTCCATCAGATTATTTTTGTGTCCGTAAAAACTAACCAATTCTATTTGGTCTGTCAGCCGATAGTAATTGAATCGTGCATTAACATAATGAAAAATACTTGAACGGCGTCCAAAGAGTTGCTTTAAATAAGTGGCCATATCGATTTCCATAATTTAAGCCTGACAAAAACAGATAACTGCATCTCTTACAGCAGACTGTAAGTGAGGGAGTAGATAGTGTTGTTTGTAATAGAATTTTTGTCTATTTTTAGTGTTCTGAAGAGTTCGCGCGAAAATCTTTATGTACTTAAGTTTCTTTAGTTATGTACTCTAAAATATTTAATGGATCTAAATAACGGAATGTTTAAAAGTGTTGTTTGGAATGTTTTTTTTCAGGCAAGCATTTTAATTTTTCCGTAATCAAGACAAAAGACTTGAACTCAAATATTCAAATCCTCAGATCGTCCACAGTAATTATAAATTCATAAGTAAATTATGTTACAATAATAAATAAAAAACATTTATTTGTAGATTCAAAATCGTAGTAACGAACTTTGTTTACGTTCATTAAAATTTCAAATTAAAAAAGGCCACAGCTCTCGTTCTCAGAACAAAAACTTATCATACACGCAGACGAAAACTAACAACCGACGAAGTGTCCAACTAACGATATATCAGCGTCATGAATTGTTGGGTTTCCGAGAACGTCTAAAATCTATTTTGTGCACACACCGAATGTCTTCAGAGATAGCTTTACTTCGTATCCGATGTTAACCTTATTCGTTGCAGCATAAGGACAATGGAAAATCGGCAGGATCGGGAAAATCAGGTTTATTGCACTGCGAAATATGTTTCATGAAATGTGCAATAATAAATTCCGTGCGTTTCGGGGAAGTACGAGATTAGAAGGGAACGCTTTGATCGATGCAGAATACGGCACGCCCGCACGCGTATAGAAGATATATGAATGCAATTTATATTCCACGCATTGCAAGATACAATGGTTGAGAATATAAATAATTTTTTTAACACGCTAATTATGTGTAGAGGAAATGTGCGATGCGTTTGACATATAAGATTTGTTTATATTATTTCAGATCGGCATTTAGCTTTGTTAATTCGAAATCTGTATTGATTGATATTGGATCCGTGATAGCTCATTGTCCGGGTGCTCAGTTTTAATTCAACATAATCGAACAACCTGTAATAGAGTTCAAATTTCGGTACCAATGCGGCACCAATAAAAATTTTAATTTTAAGTCCTGACTTATCATCTGCTTAGTGCTGAAGGATAATATCAAAAAATAATTCGAACATCTGTGAAACTGAAGGACGCCTTTGCTCAACAGTGGGACACATAAACGGATGTTGTAAGTAACAGCCGTTTATGTGTTACACCTTAGTTCTACATAACCTTAAAAGTAACGTTATTTCTAATAAATTTATTTTCGACATTAGTCTTTATAAGATCTAATAAAGAACAAAAAAGTTCAAATTAAGGTTTCGTGTTCCTCATATTGCGATATATTGCAGGGTTCAGAAGGTATGTATATTATTATTTTTACATGTTTCCTTTTTTAACCCCTCAAATAGATGGTTAAAAAGTGACGCAGCACTGCCAGTATCGATGTCGGCGGGTCAGTGTGGTGAATTTTGTTCATTAGCGAACAAGTTATAATTTTTAACAATGTACGAATGTCAAGGCATCGCCGGCGAAGCGTTTGCCATCCATTAGACCGGTACAAATGAGCCGGTGCAGAGTGGGATCAGGCATGTTATCTTATCTCGACAAACGGACAATGGGGAATGTGAAAGTTTCTCGTTTAGGACATTGCATTCGGACGGCGAGCTTGGCGCGGACTGCGCTCACATACTGCACAGGCGCTAATAACTCTTGACGTGCGGAGAAAGTGACGAGAGTAAAAGTGGAACGACGACGCTCCTCTAAACGTGTCACGGATGAGCCGAAAGATCCACGACTAATTACGATCCGAAGCGACCTAGCAATATGATACTTAAGCCATTAACATAAGTGACTTTATTGCGTAACTGTTCGCCCCGTGTGCCTAATCCGCTGTATGTCATAGACGGAGTGACGTACTGAGCGGGCCCTAAGCGCTGGGGCTTTGTTGTGAGCATTATGACGTCGCCTGCTCAGTTCGAAGGTTGCGTAGGTGTTGTGTGATGACACCTTTAAAATGCTTTCTTTAAATGCGCGATACACTGTAATAAATTACCATAAACACTTAAGCGAACGTTCCTTTGGCTCTTCAAACGTCTTGTTTCACAATCTGCAATCACGTTGCATTGTGCTCGCTATTAATTTTAACACGATTGCGTAATACAGATCTGGAAACGGAATCGTTTATCCATGGCATATTCGTGACAAATAGAAACGGAACAAATAAAGCAGTCGGATAAATGCAACAATGGCTTAGCGTGATTCTTTTCCAGCAGTGGGGACTAATTCTTAAGTCACAGGACGTCAGGAGAATCATATTGGGGAACGGAAGTTGACAAGGAAATGACTTCAGCAATTGTGCCTTCCTCGTGAGCAAATTTATAAGACGTAAATATATGACTTTCGCATATAACATTCTGGTTGTATGTAATCAGTGAGGGCTCACTATATCTAATATAGTAACATCACTATCTACGAAAATCCTTAAAAACACCACCGTCCGTGAAATTTCACAAATAATTAAAGTAAGACGCGTTAAGTTTTAACGATTTAGAGGACGATCGATTTCTGTTCTTATTTTATATAAGCTGAGCAATATATCATCGCGAATTCGTTAAACGTACCATATTAATATGAAGAATTGTATAACACATGCTTCAAATGGTCAGTAACGCCCATAGCAGCTGGCATACAGACCAGGTGTTGTCATGCGCACGACATTATAACTACTTAATTAACATATCGCCGAAAATTTATTGCACCAATGTCTTGCCCACTAGATTAGATAACGCCAGATGTACGTATATCGGAGTATGTCGCGATGTAGTTAGTAAGTCACTTTCACTGTTGGTTGAACGGCGGTTGAGGTTTACCAACCACACTTTGTACATACTTTGATTAGAACTTTCGTAGATTATTTTCGCCCTTCAAAATACATGGAAATTCAATAAGAATTGTATAAACATTAAAAGTATCCTTCGCTTTTCTTAAATTAAGTCCGTAAAATATCTTCTCTTTGGTTAATTTAAACTTATTCATTTCATTGTTACTAATTGACATCTTTTGAATAACTACAATAGATCTGAGTATATTTATATTTTTAACTTTAAAAACAAAAAAGCAATCGTGAACATAACTTTTATGAAACATGTTCTTTAAAAATTATTCACCCCATTCCATGGAGGTGAGTGTTTAAAAATAGCCAGGTGTACAGGAAGGCGATGTGCGGGTAAGGTACGTTATCGTTTCGATAAAGACACTCCGAATATCTAAACGCATGGGGGTATTTTTGACAGTTAAATATGTTTAGATAAACACGATAAATGTCTTAGTTTTTTTTTTTAATGTGAAAATGTGGTAAGTGAGCTAACGGTTCGACTGATGTCAAGTGGAAAGCGCCGTTTATGGACAATCAATGGACAGTGTTGCAAATGTGTTGCCATTTCTTTAAAATATGAGCCCCGATTACCTCACTTAACAGGCGAAAAGCAAGAAGTATAGAACTTCCACTTCTCGCCGGTATTCTGTGAGACCGTGATAATTCCGCGAGTAGCCTGCCCATTCGTGCAACAGCGAAGCCAATTTAAACAGCGAAGGCCGTTTTAAAGGGTACGTTGGAAAAAAGTTTTCAAACGTAAAATGAGCTGCAACGTCTTTTTAACGGATGGACAAAACTTCAGTTCTTTGGTTTGAGCGTAGATATCATTTGAAAAACAAAATATTGGGTATATTTTGTTTACCCTAACGTGGGTACCTCCGTAATGGACAACTATTTCGATGAAATTACTAAAAGAGCTTTAAAGAATAACCCACAGAAAAAAATAGTCTTAATAAATCAAATCAAAATCATTTATTCATCGACATAAGAAACTTACATTTCATTTATCAATAGTCATATTTTTTTTTTAAATCTACCACCGTTTCGTAATGAGGTTCCTCTAGCGGAGAAGAAACAGGCGAAAGAAACTCCGTAGGTATCCTCTTTTTTGTAATTATTTTTTTTTCTTAACAAAAAATTCAAAAATTATACAACTGATTTTTTTCCTTTTAGAAATAGCTTGGGAGCGATCAACTCATTCCCAGGGGTTATTGTATTCATTTATATTATAATAACCCTTTTTATAAAGTTTTTCTTTAATAAATTTCTTAAACCTGTTAATAGGCAGGTTTTGCGCATTTACTGGCATTTTGTTGTAAAAGCGTATACACCGCCCCATGAACGAGTTACTTACTCTATGGAGTCTAGTAACTGATTAGTTAAAGCAATAGGGCTCATAAATTGCCCGGCTATGAAGCGCATTTATATATCAAAAAATTGTAAAAACAGAACAGTCTAGAAAGCAATAAGTGTTAAATCTGCAAATCAATTGCGATCGATCATCTTCAGCGTCTGGTACTATTCACTTAATCGACTTGCTAATTAACTATGAACTTTATGCCTGACGTTATAAAACTCAAAATTGCATTGAAATGATCCAACAGCCCATTCCGGTTACAGCAAGGCTGCATTAAACATATTGGACGGATGCATTTGGAGGCCGGACTTAAACATTTGTTTAGGAAACACAAAGCAGTACTGACAGCCCTAATAGCGGTGTTTAGTTAGAAGTGATTTAGGTGGTCTAAACAGTGAAACAAATTATGCAATTTAAACATCGAACATTGTAAGTTTACGTAACAGATATTGTGAAATTTAAAGTTGTAAATGTTTAAAAATATATTTTTAATTAAAAAGGTTTAAAATAATAGAGACTTCTTTACGTTTTTCAAATCATCAATTATCGTCTAATTAAAGGCGGGAAATAAATTCAGGTATATGGCTGAATTCGGACGAGTTAAAAGAATGTCATTACACGTTCATACATAAGTGGTTTAAAAATAACCATAAAGCAAGTTGACATATATTTTTTTATTTTAAAATTTAAGTCTAAATTACTCACCTGACTAGGATGATGTCTGTACAGATACAGCTTGGTGCCGTGCAGAACCGCCCACACTTGCTTCCACGATCGGTCGCTGGCTCGCTGCGACAAGTATATAATTTATATACGATATGCATATGTATATAGGTACCTAAAGATATGTTGTAGTTTGTGCTTTTGAATTTCATCTGGTGAGCGATGTAAACGTATCACCCATATCTACACTCTAAGAGTTTTATTTGACATCAGATTCATTTTTTTACCTTCTCGTATAAAAGATGCACACACTAGTAGATATATACGACTCTATATCTATAACTCACAGCACAACTTTTTAAATTCCAGATATGGCAATATATCTACATATATAGATGTTTTGTTCTTAATTACGTTATGGCATTTTTTTGGTATTGTGATTTATTGTGAACGACATCGGAAATCAAACCTACGAATCAAAAACTTCTATGCATCTCTAGCCCCAATAACCTTTATATTTTATAAAGAAAATTTCGATAATAATCTCTCTTCCGTCTAACTTGTTAATACAATCTTACGTATGTCCATACATCGGATAATTCACGGAGTATGAAACCTAAAAAGAGAAACACGTTTAGGAACAATAAAATATAAACAGTCACCTTCCCATTGCTGACCACCATCTTGACCTGCACGTGACCTTGAACGTCCGGCTCCACTTCTGCGGCGCTCTCACCGGCTTCTTCCTCTCCCTTCTTCTCCGGGCTACATTATAAATTGCCACTTTACTGTGCTGTCTTATACCTTGCACGAGTGTGTATGAATGTATATTAGCGTGTATATTAGACAAAATTTAAAAAGATAGTTTCCAAACTCTGCTACTAAAATTTCTTCGATTTTTCTTTCGCTTTCGATGGGTATATTGAGATTTATACTTTCAGTTAAATCAGTTGGTCCAAATTTCTTCTTTGCATACTTACGCAGTGATGGCATTCTAAAAACTCATAAAAGTGTACATACAATTCTCGTAAATAATTAATTATGTTTAAAAAGACGACATCTAACAAGCATGCCACAAAAAAAACGTTTGCCATGTCACATGTCAAGGATGCTCACTAAATACATCAACTCATGCAGTTACTAGAATTTGTTTTTTCGCGTCTATCTAGTTTCATAGTATGGCTGGCTATATTGTAGTCTCATCCATAGAAGAAGCACAAACTACAGCAATGTCAATTTGCCGCCTCGCTTGAGAAAAAAAGTTTTTTAGACGCACAACTGCACAAAGAACATAAATGCAATGCATGGTGTTCAATATTTTTATAAACCTACAACTATAAAAACTCCCTGTTTTTCATTCGGATGTTTTAGCTATGGTCAGCGCCATCTATGACGTGACTAGTGATTTAATCGCACACCGCAAGCGCCATCTAGCGGCGAGTAGTTGACTGGCGTTGACATGCAACGTACCGGGCGGGGACGGTTGCATTGGGGTCGAATATTCTCAGCAGCGGCGTTATGTCGTCCGTGAAACGGGGAGGGCGCCACTTGCGATACACACTGCGTTCGTTACAAACCAAAGGTGAGGTCCAGACGGCACGCGTCCAGGTAAATATGTCAATTTCAACAGTTCACATTAAATATGGAATATTCGAGATACCGGGACTTTATGCGCGTTTACTTAGGTTATTTACTATCTAAACATTTACATACACGTATCTATCTACAAGAGTAATGTAAAAAAAAAGTATGGGAGATAGAACAGACTTGAGCTTTCTATTCAAAATGCATACACAAATGCTATAAACATGACGTTAAAATAATATTTGGACGTTATCTATTAGGGTAACTGTTCTACGGGGGGATTTTAAACGCAAACTACCATTTGTCTCAATATCGAGTTAATCATTACACGTTTGGAAAAATAAGGGGAAAGTAAATACGAGTATGCATAAGTCGCGTAAAACTAAAATGCGCCTGATTGAAGTTCGTTCCCGGAGTTCTTAATCCAAAAATCGTAGTAGAACTAGTAAATATCTTTACAAATGATACTCACGGAAACGAATAACAATATCGTTTAGATCTGTGCGCCAATTTGGAAGACTTAACCTTGACCTTCGCTCAAAGGCCAACCAATGACTATATAGCATATAAGAAAATGAATTGTGTATGGTCTGTCTACTCTTCAGGCGCATCTAAGTTTTGCACGCCCTGTGTATGTGGTTAATTGGTTAAAAATGCTAATATTGAATAGTTTCGAACCTTCTGAGGGCGTGATGTTCCGAGTCGGGTTCGACGTCGCTGTCCAAATGCAGCCTGTCGCCCCAAGTCGCCTTCAGGTAAGACACCCTTCGCATGGCGCGTTCTTCTTCTGTACGGACACAAATTTAAAGATTTAAGTTAATTAAATGTATATCATATACCAAGGGAGGAGGTCAAACACGACTTGACTATCTCCTTCCCCAGGAGAGGAGTTTCCGGGAACTAAATCCTAATTTTTTCCTTTCTCAAGACAACTCCTCTTAGCAAACAAAACTGTTGCTGGCATCGGGGCTATCCTATCGTTTCGTGTCACCACAATTGGGTAGAATCACTTACATGTCAACAATTATTGTGAATCTTATGGTTAGTTATGCTTATAAATAAATGAAAAATTTTGCGTTACTGAAAAAAGCAATGTTAACGCTATTTAATCCTACAGATTATTGTGTTCTATCCGAATTTAGGAGAATTTAATAAAAATTAGGTACTTAAAATGATATAAAGGATAATCGAACAGATATTAAAAAAAAAAAATGGTGGCCGGATTAAATGATAGCCAATGTTCACTTCTGTTCACTCCTTTTAAAACAGATTTTGCGATGATGCAAGTAGCGAGCTGGGTAGCGAACAAGCTGTCAGATTTTTCCACAGTCTCATTCAACGATAGTTGTTTAATCCAAGGTGCTAATAAAATCTTAACTGTCACCACTCACCGCCCATCTGAGCGTCCTTCTTCTGTCGCCTCGTCACCAGGTCATCGGCAAAACCTGTCGAAACGTATATTTTAGTACGACCAAGGACTAGCCTGTCGCGACGGTATGTCACGACCAACGCAAAGTTGAACACACACAAAGTTAGTGGTGATTAGTAGCACGCGTGCAAGCACACACAAATCATTCCGTTAGCGCGGCCAAGTTTAGAAAGGCGTTCTCGAGTCGTCAAGATGCGAACGCTCCCGTGGATAGAGGAGAGGGTCTATAGAGTTTATTGAAGGTGTGATGCACATCAAAACACCAAGGGCCGCTCTCAGATATGTCGATTACTGAAATTAAAATCGTTCAGGTGTCGAGTTCCAAAGGAATTAAGATTGAAAATTTCACAAATTAATGAATTTAATTCTGGTTTGACAAATGAAGACTCAGTGCGCCCGTCGGTGTTATTGTATCCCCTCGTTTATATATATAACCCAAAACGTATTATTATGATAGTACAGTTAATCATTTCGTTCTCCATCATAATTATTGGACCGAATAGGAAAAAAGAGTGTTACGATTAGCGAAAAAATTTGTGGATATTTAGTCCCATTTTTTTTTGTTGAAACTATAATATGCTTCTTCATGAAGATACTAAATTAAATTATTCCTAATACAAATGCAATCACATATAGGCGTCATTAAATATTGTTATACCTATTTAATAGTTTTTAATAGAAAATATTTACAAATCCCCTCAATTATTGTTTTTTTGGTTAAATGTTGTTATTTAAATAATTAATTGATAAAAGTGTTATGGTCAAAAAACGTGTTAACATATTATTAGTATTTTTCAGCATTTAAAAGCGCAAAGCGACTGCTGGATTTGAAAACGACAGGTAAGGAAAGTGATGGACGGGATGCATACATTTCAGATGTGTAGAATTTTCGAATATAAACGATAAAATTAAATTTAAAGATAAATAGCTTAGTTTCAAATTACAACAATTCGTCGATGAAGACATGGACAGATCAGTAACAGAGTTTAGTTCAGTACGAAAGAGTTTATCGAGAGCCTATCCTAGTTTTAAAGAAAATGTTGAGGTTTATTTGACAATATTAGAAAATTGCAGAGTGACCTTAGAGTAGAAGGACCTTCCAAGTATAAATTTCTTGTTGGTGTGGACGAAGTTTGGAGGAGGCGGGAGGGGGATTAGAAGGCGGCGTGGCAGGTGAGGCTAGCGGAGGGTGGTTAGGGGAGGGTGGGTGGAAAGGAACGCTGGAGAAAAGGTATTCGGCGGGGAGGTGGGAGCGTTCGAGATGGCGAGGGCCGTCGCGTGGGACCTGAGTCGTGGGGCGTGCTGGGCGTGGGCGAGGGCGAGGTGGCGGCCGACGTGGAGGCGGAGCGCGGCGCGAGGCTCAACTGCGTGGGCCGCGCCGCCCCGCCCGCCCCTCCCTCCCCACCGCCGCCCAGCGACACGCGGCTCATCTCCTCCATTTGCTCCCTGTTCAGCCCCATACGTCGCTTCGCGTGACTGCCATCTTTGGGGGGGGGCGGTAACAGTGGGCCGTTAGACTCGCAGGCGGCGGGCGGCTATCGCGGCGCGTTCTTTTGTTTATTCGTAGCGTTTCCGGCGGGCGCGGGCGCACCCGAGAAGCAAGCTTCGAATAGCCTCCTTGATTCACCGACAGATGGCGTTAGCTGGCAGCGCACTTGAGTCTACTCTTTAGCCATTTAACAAAAGCTAATAAAGTTACAAAATTACTCAAGTTACCGTAAAAATATGTAACGACGCGACTAGTTCCGTTACTCCATTTTTATTCTAATATGTATAAATATTTAGAAAAAGCGCCATCTATCGGTATCAGATCAACTATAGTTTGCGCCTCTAGCGATCAGTTCATAAATAGCGCGTCAAACCAAGGTAGCAATATTGTGATTTGTGATAGTGTGTAAAAACAGCAAAGCATGTGTAAATAACTTTCCACACTTACTTAACTTACAACTTGCATATCAATAACATAGTATAATTCGTATATCGATTGGTGTTTCACGCTTAAAACTTGTCTAATTTATGTAATTTATAATCTGATTCTGATGGTGCATCGAACACAATTTTATGAAGACGTATCTCACTCACCTGTGGCATGATGTCTTCTAATGGGTAATCCTTCGCTTCCGGTGCTGTTTGACCGAGTTCTCATTTGAACTTTTTCCGTTTCTGTAAGCGATATAAAATGATATTAAAACAATTTTCGGAGTATTGTATTTTGATTACAGGAGACATTTAAAGAGCGGCTACAGCTTAATCAATATTAAGGCAGTAATGGGGCAGCCTACCTGTTACGTCTGATAAGGAATTAATCATACCAGTCACTACTTTGGCAGTCAACTCGTTTCCTTCTTGCCTTTACAATATTTATATAAGTGCTGTACCATTCTGCGGATAGCTTCATAAAGGTAACCGAAATAGCTCAGAGGATTAGTAAGCTAAAGTGATAACCGATGCGGAAGGACGGTTATTGAGTGACAGTTTCGTATAGGCCATCGTAGTGTAGGACGACCTCCCGCTAGATGGAGTGACGACTAGTGCATGATGTATGTTATTTATAAAATGAAATATTGGGAATGGAAACGTACCGGGCGCATATCCTTCTGGTGGCGGGCAATGGAGGTGCTTGCTGCCGGTGATCGTGAGCTGGTTGCCCGACAGGCTGCCGCCGAGGGTTGTCGGCTCGTGCTCTAGTTCTGAGCAACGTCGAACGCAAAATTAACATCAGCTAGCGGGTACGAAATAGCTCTGTTTCTAGAAAGAGAATTTGTAGTAACGGAAGGGAGTAGTAGGCTAACCGGCTTTTGCGGTTATTGAACAAGTTCTTGTGTCGGGAAGGCAATGGAAGCAATTATGACAGTGGCGTAGGAAGGAGAGGTTGCGATCCCAGCATATTCTAAATAGTGGGGACGGCAGGAGGCAACGTTGGATACGATTGAGTCGCATGAGTCGCCGAGGCGGCAATAGCTACTGCTAGGAAGGAGAGATTGCGATCGCATCACGTGCTGATGAGAGTTAGTGGAATAACTGAACAACCGAGGCAGTGTTGGGAACAATCAAGTTGCCGATGGGGCAGCCGAGGAAGCAATGGCGTTGGTTTAGGATGAACGGAGAGTTTGCGCTCGCAACATATGCTGATTATAGTTAGTGGGGACCGTCAAGTAGCTGAAGCAGCATTGGGGGCGATTGAGTCACCGATGCGGACAGCCGAGCAATCGAGGCAGCGTGGGGGGGGATTGAGTCATCGATGCGGACAGGGGAGCAATCGAGGCAGCTTCGGGCGCGATCGAGACGCGGATAGGGATAGCCGAGCGGCCGAGGCTGCGTTGGGGGAGATCGAGGCGCGGATAGGGAAAGCCGAGCGGACGAGGCATCGTTGGGGAATAACGAGGCGCCGATATGCATAGCCGAGCTGCCGAGGCAGCGTTGGGAGCGATCGAGGTGCGGATAGGGATAGCCGAGCGGCCGAGGCTGCGTTGGGGGAGATCGAGGCGCGGATAGGGAAAGCCGAGCGGACGAGGCAGCGTTGGGGAATAACGAGGCGCCGATATGCATAGCCGAGCTGCCGAGGCAGCGTTGGGAGCGATCGAGGTGCGGATAGGGATAACCGAGCAGCCGAGGCAGCGTTGGGGGAGATCGAGGCGCGGATAGGGAAAGCCGAGCGGACGAGGCAGCGTTGGGGAATATCGAGGCGCCGATATGCATAGCCGAGCTGCCGAGGCAGCGTTAGGAGCGATCGAGCAGGGGGCGGGGCGGGCAATTGAGGCGGTGACGTCACCTTGGTGCGGCTGCACGTCGAGAGAGCGCGCCTCGCGGCGTGCGGCGCGCCCCTCGAACTCCTTGCGGCGCAGCGCGACGCTCGGCTCGAGGCGGGTGCTGCTGAGGCGCGCGAGCTCACTGCGCGCCACCTCGGTGCGCCGGGCGCCGCCGCCTCGCGCCTCCTCCAGCTGGCGGGTGCGCGCCGTCACCAGCTGCAGCTCGGGCACCGGGTAACTGGAGCGACACATTCTAGCTGAGCGCGGGCGGTTGAACCTTAACGGGTGGACGCCACGGCGAAACGGTACGTTTATTACTCGGTAAAACAGACTGTAATCGGTACAGACTGAATCGATGACAAAATTAGAATGGCGTTGCTACACGTGAATAGGCTTCGTTAAAAGTTTTAATTTTATAGTAATATTTTTAAGTTTTTTTTTATACTGTAACGTAGGCAACTAACCGACTCTCCTGGTTATTAGAAGACGAGCTTTCTTCCTTGTTCTCGTTCTTCGTTTCAGCGGTGTCGCCGTTCATCGCGCCAACGTTGTTCTGGACGCCGGGCGAGGTCTCTTGTATCTTCGACAGGGTCGCCACGAACTGGCCCTTGTCCTGCTTGGGCCTGCCCCTGTCGGCGGTGGTGCCGTTCAGTTCGCCGTAGCCGCTGTACGTGCCGCTGTCCACGCTCGCGGAGCATTCCTCCCCCTTGGCGGTCTGCTCTTGGCTTTGCGCTTGGACGAGCGCGGGGGGTGGGGAGGCGGCAAGCGGCGGCGAAGAGGGGGGTGGGGGCCACGCCGGCTTCTGCAGCTTCTGCGGCCTCGCGTAGAACTCCCTCTGTTTGATCGGCTGCGGGGCGTCCGGCGTCACCCAGCCGGTGGGTTGGCTGGGACGCCTCAGGAACGCCTCCTTCTGCTCGAGGCTCTTTCGTATTCGGGACAGTATTATCGAGTCGTCGATCTCGCGACCGGTCAGGGTCGAGTTGGAGTCGAAGGAGCCGAGACTGTCCTTGCTCTCGGCGGCCGACGACGGCAGTGAGGTGTCCGATTCCCTGCGACTGAAAATAGGAACGAGCAAATGATAATCTCAAGTCATTAAAGATTTATGCAAAATAGGGACTTGTTTTTTTATTGTTTATTTCTTCTATTCTGCTTATTGTTTATATTATTTTAATTGTTTTTATTCAACGCTGTTATATGTGTACGTAAACCTTAACAATGTTCAATTTTACGTACGTTACGTTCAAATGCTACGAGACATATAGTTTTCACTAACGGCCTAATATTCTATCTACATTGAGATTTGGTTGCTAGCAATAGGTATTTGACATTAGCGACATAATACTTACGTCAAACTTCTATCTCCAGTAACCAGATCTATCTGTAGATTGATTATTGAAACTGACCGTAAATCACTTAACTGCGTTTTAACGATCCGATCTTAGAGCCGAGATTTTTAGTTTTGGAACATTCTTTGTCTTTCTTTTCTTTCTTGTTTTAAAAAAACATTTAGCAAAACGTTATCCTGTGCTGAAAAGAAATGTTTACAAACATAAATTACACGTGGACAAGCACCAAATGTGCAAAAACTATCTGTGGGTCACACAAATAGTTGTACCGTGCGGGGATCGAGCCAACAACCCTCCACACCGAAGCCAATACCTTGGCAACAGCGGCACGGAGTCATCGAACATTCCAGAGTCTTACCCGTCGTGCAGCATGTAGTGGGGCGCGTTGGCGAGGTACCGAGCGGGCGCGAGCGAGGCGACGCTCGCGTACTCCGGGTCCTCGCGGCGCGACTGCGTCTGTGTGTGCGTGTGCGTGTGCGTCTGTGGCTGCGCCTGTGGTAGTGAGGCGCGCGGCCGCCGCTGCGGCTCCGGCTCGTGGGCGGTCACCGGCATGTCGGGCCGCTGGTTCGTCTCCGGGTTGTACGCCGCCTCGCTGAAGTACTGCACGCGGGGGCGGAACGGTTGCTCTTAATGTGGCGATGGTATAAAAATTGAGAAAGAAAATTAAAGTAAAAAAAAAACTAAAGCAACGGCCTATACGTATCCCATTGTTGTGCAAAGGCCTCCTCTGTACAGAGGGTTTTAAGGCATAGTCCACCACGCGGCCCCACTGCGGACTGGCAAGCTTCACATAGACTAGGTTTAAGTTCAAGTTTGGACCTCCACACAGTCTCCCACCCCGATCACGGCAAGATCCAGTTGGTCTGCTTGGTTCACCCCTAGCTGGAGTCGAGCCTCCCGCCCGTCTGCGGCCTTCATTCTATTTAAAAAAAAAAAAAGCAAACACGCTCGCGGCGCGCGCACCCTCTGCAGCAGGTCGTGGTCCCTCGGCACGACGGTGAGCCGCAGCGTGCGCGGCTCCCGCTGCGCCAGTTGCACGACGCGCGCGTACGGCGCCCGCGCGCGGCCGCACGCCACCGGCTCCCCGTTCACGGCGAGCACGCGGTCGCCGGCGCGCAGGCCTGCCGCCGCCGCCGGCCCGCCCGGCCGCACGGACCTCACGAAGATCGTGTCCATTGGCGCGCCCACCGCGCCCACCGCCAGGTGGCGCGCATCCTCGTACAGCTCCTGTGCGGCCGCGAGACGCGTAAGTACCCGTTTTTATTCAAGTTATAATTCTTTATGCGCGTTATGAAAATAGGATGAGAGTGAAATTCTAAGAAGCGCGCGCATCGCTGTAGCACAAACGTCACACCTTTGAAGCTGCCCGCTAAACCGCTAGATAGCAGCATATTCTCAATCACATTCGCCCGTTACAGTTCCCTATAAATAGTGTAGATGGCGATTTCATAACTTTATTATTTTTATTATTTATATCCTTTTCCAGTCTTTTTATTACTTTATTGTAATTAATTATTTGCATGCAATTAAAAACTATTCTTAATGATGCCAAAGAAGTATTAAGTCTCACGCGCATACATAAGCACACACACCAATTTTTATTCTTTTTTTAACACTACCCTTACTGTGGGATAACATTATCCAGTGTTGTAAGTACGTTTTATATTACATAAATTGGACACGTGGACAAATACCCAAATATGAAACAATTATCTGTGGGTCACACAAATACTTGTCCCGTGCGGGAATCGAACCCACGACGATAATCTTGTTGATAGAACATTGTATTTTATAAATAACTAAAAAAATGTTAATAACTATTTTCATAATTGCACCTCAATGATTTATTGCAATCACGGCCTTGTAAAGTCTACGTAATTTTGTTATATTTTTTTGTTATTTTTTTTAACATCGGCTTTACTTTAGGATAACATTATCCTGTGTTGTAAGGACGTTTTACGAACATAAATTTCACGCGGACTAACACCGTGTGGGAATCGAACCCACGATCCCGACGCTGAAGCCAATAACTTGGCCACTGCGCCACGGAGTCATCAAATTTAATGACGTCACGTGGGACTAAAAATTCTAAGGCAAGTAAATATTCGTTGTCTTGGAGCAATAGTGGTTAGTGCTATAAAAATTTTCGCTTGCGCTTTTTGAAACATTTCTTTATTTACACGGTGAGTTGAAACGGAAGTCTTCATTGCCAAGTGCTCTCAATAGAGCACCGGAAAACGGTCGTTAATACCTGTCGGTTCAACGCGTGAAATATGCTGGTTGCGGTATTTTAGAGCACTGATTACCTACAAGTCTATTGAGAACAATTGAAGATCTGAGAACAGATTTGAGTAAAATATTGTACATCGATGTCGGCATTTACAATCAAATCGTTAACTAAAATGCAATAAGCAATCTAAAAACATCATTTTCATTTTTACGTGTAAAATATAAAGTAAAAAATAAGTACAAAGTTGCAACTGCTATTTCGTCTTTTTTCGTCGATTTGCATTTGCTTTTTCACTTACAACATTAATTTAAACGGATAAAAACTGTATTAATAAAAAAATATATAGCGAACATCTATAGAATTTATTCGTTTTGTTGTCGCTTTTATAAACTGCAGTAGTCATAAATATCCAACAAAAACCAGTGCTATGGTTTTCTATTGCTCCTCGACTTTATGCCAATCCTACTTGCTTTATGTAAAAAATCGAGCTGTTAGCATTTACAGCTGCAACATTCTTGATACCGACTTGTAGTTACACCGGCGGCTAGACGACGAGGACTTTACGCCAATCATACGTCGAATCAAAAAAATCGAGCTGTTACGTTTACAGCTGCAACATTCTTGATACCGACCTACAGTACTACTCCGGTGGCTAGACAACGAAGACTTTACGCCAATCATACGTCGAATCGAAAAAAATCGAGCTGTTGCAATTTCAGCTGCAAAATTTTTTATACCGACCTGTAGTGACTCCGGCGGCTAGATGATGAGGACTTTACGCCAATCGTACCTATTTTACGGCAGAAATCGACCCGTTATATACGTTTAGAGTTCTCGTTACCGACCTGTAGTGACTCCCGCGGCTAGACGACGAGGACTTTTCGCCAATCATACCTCGAATCAAAAAAAAAAATCGAGCCGTTATATACATCTAGAGTTGGTACTCCTCGTTACCGACCTGTAGTGACTCCGGCGGGTAGACCACGAGGTGGCGCAGCGTGAATCCGAAGCCGTGGCGCGCGTCCGGACGCTGGATGACGATGGTGCGCGGCGCCGCGCAGTGGGCGGCCGCTGGCGCCGGCGCTGACGTGGGCGGGGGCAACGCCAGGGGCGCCTGGCTCACCGTCTGAGGCTGCGGAAGGGAAACATACATTTTGATATTGATCTTTACGATTGAATTAAGGATTCCAACATGTGTCATCTGGTGGTGCCCCACACTGCCCCAAGTAAGCGATTACTTGACTGCAAAATTGGCACTAAAAAGAAGAATTAATGCGAAAACTTTAAGAGGAAACGCGTCATTTCTTTTTACGAACTTTTTAATTTTTTTGTATTAAAATTCTACAGCAAATTCTAAATAAGGATTTGTTTTATATTTATTATAATCGTAATTTGAAAGTACGTTAGAAGTCGTTTCTAGTTCTTCTAGGCTTTCATAGTTCCAAGAATCTCGATGTCTAGATTACAGATAAACATTTTTATCGTTTCCGCTCAATTAAATCACCCCATAAAGCCGAGTCGAATAATTAATTTTCGCCCAATGAAACTTCACTCATCTTGTCTGTTGATAATATCAACGATAAAATAAAGAAAGAACAAACCGCCTTTGGGGTTGAATCGACTCGGAGACGCATTACTCATTCGAATAGTTCGAGATGCGGACGCTTACTGGCGAGACGTTGATAATAAATTCACTCCGAGCCGGCACTGACGCGGCAATCATCTTCTGCGATTCATTCGGCCCGTATCGATGGGCACGCCGAGCCGGATGCATAAGTCTGTACGGATAATCTTCCGACGCGACACCCACAGAGGCGGAGATAATTCGCGACGTACAACGGGAAATCATGAGATGCGAGCGTCGTCAACTATTCAATGAACGACCTGTTCGTCCGCACGTCATAACTGTCCCACGGGCGATGATCGTAAATTTGCTAAATGCGACGCGTGTGGGAAATGCGGACGCGTAATCGATTATTAGATATATGAACGTATCCGAGGAGACGACAATGACTAATGACATAACCGAAGTAATAGAAGTTAAAGATGTATAAATTATGGGAAGTAGGAGGCGATAACGTAATGTTTTTACAGTTGCCAGCTAGTAAATTTATCACTCGAAATCGGAATAATCTATAAAGGAACAGAAGTGCACATAAATGATTTTGTTTATGAGCAATTGGGAAACCGACCGGTTTAGATAGTCCATTAAGGCGAAAGGTAGAGCTTGGTCACAGTTATCGCGTTAAAATATCTTCGATCTATACGTCCAGTCCAATGACAGAGGGATTATTATGTTGTCGGAAACGGCGGGGCGGTTTTAATTTAACACTTCGATCTGTTACTGTTTTTATTTTAACTATATATTGTTTCATTATTTTGTATTTTGAACATTTTGATCGCACCGTATTGAGCAAAAACAGATCAAAACTACATAAGGCCCTTGCCAGTTGGCACTTGTTAATTTTGATCTATTTGATTTTTTTAACTTTTTGTTAATAGTGCTAATCTCTACACTTAAGATTTAAAGTCTATTATCTACATTGTTTTTATAGCATTTGAAGGAATGCTTTGCGCATCCATTGTTATATCCTTTCCAGCATAGAAACAATTTCGAATATCGTTTTACAACGATAATTCGAACGAGAGATGTCGCTATGTTGACAGGCGATGTTTTTTTATCTTTTTTTTAATAGTGCTAATCTCTGCACTTAAGATTTAACATTAAAATTTGTAGAAACACAACGAAACACAACACACAAGAACTATCGCTGACGTAAAGCGACACATGTCATGACGTGAATGCTTCCCGGAGCGCGACACGTGTCATGACGTACCTACACGCTCCCCGGAGCATCGAGGAAGCCCCACCACGACAAAGTATACAAACGTATCGAGTGACAAGAAGCGAGTCCCTAATCTTACGTCAGGTGTGATTTAAGCTTCGAGTTCCCTTTCTTCCGCAATTGTAGGGCTGCGCTCGAAGTAACGACCGCCGAATTTCACCGCTAAAGCTGATATAACTACTTTAAGGATACGCCTGTTTATAAGACGTTTAATGTTTTGTCAATTTTCGTTGCAATATAAACGATATAAGATCTATGACGTAAGCTAAGTGTAATTTATAAATAAGGTAATTTACAATACACAATTTGATAAACCGTTATGAATACAAATTAACCTATACATATTAAGAAGGGAATATTTCTACACTATTCGCTTTTCAGCATGTTTGTAAAGTTTGTAAAGAACTGTTCAAATAACCCAATCACAAAAGGGAACAGTAGTAGCATACCATTATAACCGCCTATTGGAGCGATTGAAATAAGGCACTTCTTAGTAACAAGCCGATTGAAATGTCTGTTGAGGGTTCTCTTAGCCCAATCATGGTGTTGGCAAGGCGTTAGGTGCCTCACGAAGAGCCTAAATTGCCCATTTATCACGCCGACACGGCGACGACGAAAGCCGCGAACCGCTCTGCACGTGGGCCGAGTGCTCTTTGCTGTAATTGCGCGCACTTTCGAGTTTCTCTACTGATCGAACGTTTCACGCAACTGACAACGTTTTTTTTTTATGTGAACAGTTGCCAAGCAGGCCTGATGTTAAATTAATACCGCTGCAAATGGACATCTACAAAACTCGAGGGTTGCAGATGCATTGGCAACCTTTTGAAAATTGAGCTCCAGCTACCTCACTCACCAGACGAAACACGAAAGTATTATTATACTACCAATTTACGCCGGTCTTATGTGAGGTTGTGGTACTACCCGGATGAGCCTGCCTCTTCGTGCAACGGCCGATGCTACTGCGTGGGCCTACTACAGTTCTAAAACTATGAGACGGACCAAAACTATTTTTTTGGATTGCTGACAAAGAAACGGGAGGGGGGGGGGGGGGGTTCTTAAATAATATTCTCCGTATTTATATATAAATCTTTCATATTTTCGTTTGCACATCGGGCGTATAAAATCATTGTGTGTGCTTACGTAACATTTGAACGCCACGTAATTATTTTGAATAGCAATTGCTTAATTTACCTCTGAATCTAATAGAGTGAATGACTGACATTCGATCTAAGCCGATATCAACATTGTCAGGGCAGGCTATTATACTCTCATTGGAATGCTTATGACATTCTAATGCACTAACAACTGCAGATTATACAGCGAAGCAAAATGAATGAAACACAAATACAACTAAGGTTTAAACTTCCGTGCAACGTCATCAACACAGCCGTGCGCACAGATTGCCAACTTAATAAAGCGTTAACAGCTTTATTTCTGTGACTAATAATGTATTATTCTGTCTAATTAAATTAAGTTTATGGCCAAGCGAGGGCCCTTTGGCCCGGCGAGTCTCGACGGTCATATCGGGTCGTGGGTTGCGATGGGTTACGAACAACTCGCGGTGGCACAAATGAAAGTAGATAGTGAAGATGCATCGTGAAAATTAAACAGTTGTCGCGGCCTCCTGTTGAATTATGATCTCCTGGTTGATTTTTGCCTCGATGATCTACTCTGCTCACATGGAATGGCTTTTTCCTTAATTAATGCTTAAATTATATAACCGTAGCGTTAAATATTTATATATTCAAGTTCGCTAGTAGGTTTAATACATTATGTAAGAACGTGCATGAAGCCGTACTTAGATAATTTATGTATAATTTAAATATAAATTCATAAGATTCATCTATTAAACGATGAAAGAATTTCCCAAATGGGCAAAACATACAAAGTCACATAATTCGCCCTCTTCAATTATTATCTCAGTTAAGACTATGTTTTTATTAATTTACGTAAGTAGTTTTAAATTCAAAAAATATTTAAGATGTATAAAAATACAGAAAGATGCTGAGTGTGATAAGAATTTCACATAAAATTTCTGAAGCTGTAGGCGGAAGTGGAACAGATACATTATGTAGATTCCTTCTTTGCTTGCTATTAGAGATTCAGCTGTCATTATTATGTAACTATAATCAAAATTTGAATTGCATATCTCAGCAAATTAACTTCCCTATGAACGTAACGGATTTCTGCAATTTAATGTCCAATTCAATAAAACATTGCGTAACTGATTTTCTCATCGCTTCGAGTGTTTTTATTCTTTATTTTCACTTAGTAGGGTAAACTGATCTACAAACCAGTCCAAGTTTGCTAATCGAAATTTAACTATATATGTAAATATGAGAGATAATTAGCAAAATAAAAAAACTCGAACGGATTCTTAGTAATTATTACACAAATTGTACGACTTATTAGTACCAGCTCCAGCTTAAAGACTTAACAATTTCACGGAGGGGAAATATATTATGTATTTTAAATAAGTTTTAAATTACGAACAAAGCCCATTATAACGGCGGATAAGAAAACCGAATAGAAATTGACATAACTCCACTTTTACGATTGGATCGTTCAAGGGGGCCCTTTCTACATGAATTTACAATAATTATGTAAAACACGAGGCGGGATGCGAGAGGGCCAGGGCCGGCGGGCAGCCATTATGGCCGTCGACCGATGAATTAATGCAAACAAGCACTAAGTACCGGACACCGATTGCGGTTAAACGAACTGATAAGTGATATCTCAATAATAGCCAGTGCTAAATGTAAGCTACCGGCGGAATACGCGAAATATATGTATGTATATATATAAACACGCAGATGTATCTGTGTGAATGCTCGCTTGTCTAACGCTTTAGGGGTTATCGTTAATGGAAATCGATATGTCGGCGTTGCATATAAACGGTTGTTTAACGTCGGCCGGTTGCGCTAATCTTATGAAGTTGCAAATTGAAGTTGGACTTTTAGGTTAAAATTTGCAATACTGATACTGTAAATATTAAATACTCGTTTCGTACTTGTTTGATTAAATGATGAAATCATCGCTTCTATATATGTCATAAAAACAATCTATAAATATGTCAATTTATACATATATACATACTCATATGTGTGTAAGAACTCTTTTACTAACGGGAAAGTTCATTCAATTTCCGTTACAATACTCTGGTATCGTAACGGAAAGTATAACTTTTTAAGTATAACTCAAAATTTGTCTTTAAGTAATAAATATTTTTCAAACTACAATTTAACAACTGGTTCGCTTTTGTTAAAGTTTTTTAACAATTTGCTCCGTGCTATTTTTTACTTCGGAACTTCATATTTTATTTTCTGATAAAAAGTATTGTAATACTATTTAAGAAGGCTAAAATAGGAGTTTATTTTTTATAGGCTTCCAAATTTCCAACAAGATCAATAAAAAGATAAAAACTAATTTATCTGCGTGCTTAAACGAGATTGCTTTTATTTCAGTTTAAGATAATTCTCTTTCAAGTGCTTTCAGCTAGAAAAACCTTGAAATAGTCCCCGGCTGTTTGAGGCCGACAACCTGAAAAAGGTTTCATTCATTCATTCTGCCGTCTTACGAGGCGTGTACGTGAACTCGATAGAGATCAGCGTAATTTAGTTCTCCGCGTTCACAGCCTTGTCATCCCGAAACTGCGTAACTTTCGCCTTATAAGGCCTTCATCAATCCAATTGAATGTTTTCTAAATTGCGCGCTTATATTATATTTTCACCAACATACTTTTGTTTAACTCATGGCACTAGAATGAATATAGCTTAGGTAATTCATAAGCGTCTTAAGACTTTTGCGATTCGACTTAATCCAATGGTATGGTGGTTCGTCTGATGTTAAGTGATAATCGCCGCCCATGGACATTTGCAACAACCGTAGAGTTGCGGATGCGTTGCCAACTTTTATTAACACGACCGGCTACCTCACTCACCAGACGAAACGTAGTAAAACTTCTACTTCACGCCGGTCTTCTGTGAGGTGGTGGTACTTACTCGGGCGGACCTGCCCATTCGTGCAACAGCGAACACTGTGGCGTGCCTTACCACACTTATCACGGGTAAATGTTTGTCTCCAAAACAAACAACATTATGCATAGCCTCCGTTAACTTAAACGCCGACAATTCCATTACTCGGGCGCCTCACTGAAACCACTTTCTTTGTAACTTAAACTTTTTATAACGCGCACGTAAAACGTCGAGGATACTCACTTGACCGGGTCGTACATACGAGCGTGTTCCATTTTGAAACTTACCTTTTTAATAATAAAGTTAAATCTAGTACAGAGGAATGAAAAATTTACGATTTGGAACTGCTAGCAGATATAAATAAATATATCGTTAAATTTCACTCAAAGTAGAGCTATAAATAAGTCATCAATAGAGTCAGTTAAATATAACAAACATAAGTTTAGTATAACATAAATTTGGCGTTGTTTATGATAACAGAAACGCTCGACTGTATCCTACTGGATTAACGGCCGAGCAACCAATCAGCTGAGTCGCCTTCGAGGTAGTTATGAGATTTTAACACAATGCGCCTGCAAACTACATTAATAATACCTTTAAACAATATTGTGCCTATACTTAATATCGTATAGCAGACTTTCCATCAAATGCCCACAAAGATTTTGTAGCTCTCATTGCCATCGTTGTTGTTCATTATGAGATTTAAACATGCCAGTTTTGTTTTTAATAACGATATATTATCTGTTAATCGTATCATCATTATTGTCATCAGCTCATCTCAAAAATCCCGTCAAAGTTAAGTCACGGTATTCGGGCCATTTATTCCTTGAACGCCTTACGAATGAATGTTTACGACGGAGCGATTCGCCGAACCGAATTAGCTCCTCATATGGTCCAATATCCAAATACAGACGCTATTTATAAAACTTAAGGCAACTTCCGCTGAGAGTAGAGTTGGGCGGGCCCTTGGAAAATGAGATTTATATTAATGCCGCGTCTATAGCAATAAAACAGGCAACGAATTGATGTAACGATCCTGTGTTTGGACGTTTGTTAACGTTATGCCCGTATAAATTTTGTAATGGCCAGTAATGCCCAGTTCTCAGTGCCCACAGCGGCGACGCTCGGCCAATGCATATCAAATGATCTAATCAAATCAAATACCATTATTCTATATAGAAGCATTACACTTACTTATTGATTGTCAAGACTCTACCACCGGTTCGGAAAGAAAAGCCACTGACCTGAGAAGAACCGGCGAAAGAAACTCAGCACATCGATGAAAGTACTAAAAATAGTTATTCCATCAAATTATTAATTTCCGTTAGTATATAATTATTACAATTATCACAAAGTTTTTGCGTAAACCTTTTATAAAATTATATTTACGGTCCAACAATTTTATATTCACATCGGAAAAAATTTTAGAGGTTCTTTTCGCTACCTTTCTTCGTTTTTTTGAAAATCGTCTATCGTGCTTTGAACAAAGCTAGCATGTAAGCAAATACTTTTTAGTTTATCTTTAGCGAAAGTTTTAGCTATCCCGATGTACTAGTAAAAATATTGCCATCGTTGTTAGTTAGTAGACGTCCCAATTAGAAATGAAAAAAGAACAGTTGAGTTACCGAGTTTTAATTTAAAAACTTTACAAACAGAAATATCAATTAGAATAATACGATAGAAAAAAAGTACGATAGGATTACGTACGCCAGAGTCAATTAGTCTGACCGTAAAACCTATTTTGTTTCAATAATTCCTTTTGCCGCTATAAGTTATTGTAAAGCCTCACAGCTCGATAAGCATCTACGTAATATTTAATGAGAACGGAACACGATATTTCAAGATTATAATTCTGTTCTTTTTTATTAATAACAAGACGCGTAGACCTCGCGCGTAGGGATTGGTAAAGAAATAAAGCAAGAACACGTCGAATGTTGTATTCTCACCGCTGACTCATCGATTTGGCCTTGCGTGGCAAGCCTGTCGGGACTATCACCTTTCTATGGGTGAATTTGCGTCACGGCGACCCTGACATTTGGAGAGCCGACTACGGGCGAAATTAACGCTACCGCGACGTCCTGGCATAATTCCGGACGCATAAAGGTATGAATGTAACTTTTTTTTTTTTTTATTTAATAAATCCGAGATACTGCTTGATTATATTACCGAGATATTGCGGCGGGGTAGTCAATTAATCGCTACATAAGAATATAACAACAAAATTATTAATTTATTAAATAACTCTGATAATATTCGTTATATGACAGTTGACAACGGTTTCGTGTTATGAGTATAAACTTTTTTTTGTATGTGAAAAATAGCCACGCGAGCAGACGGTTCACCTGATGTTAAGTGAATACCGCCGCCCATGGACGTCTGCTACACCCGAGGGTTTGCAGATGCGTTCACAACCTTTTTGAAAATTGGGCTCCGGCCACCTCATCACCAAACGAAACGCGAAAGTACTATACTTCCACTTTACGCCGGTCTTCTGTGAGGTCGTGGTACTTACCGGGACGAGCCTGCCCATTCGTGCAACAGCCGAAGATGCTGCGTGGCCCTACCACCAAAAAACTTAACCTGAATATCATATGATTAGCAAATCACATCGTTTCATGTCTTTATAATATCAGTGTTTTAAACAAAACAATTAATTCGTCAAAGTTCAACTTTCCGCCATATTACAACTATGGTTTTATAAGAATAGCCTTAGCTTTCATTATTGATAAAATTGACAATAAACTACGGCATCGTTACGGATTGATAAATATCATTTAAGTGCGTCAGTTTCTTCCTCCTCTTCTAACTTTAATAATGATCATTGATTTTCGCTCAATTTCAAACGTCACGTGACCAATGTTCCGACCGCTTTAATGCATATACTTTCTACGTAATCTTCCAATACAAGTACGGTAACAGCATTAGCGGAATGTTAATATGGCGTTCAAAAGGAAAAACCGTCGGGCCTGACAAAGCCAACGAATCCTTCAAAACGCGGCTCAAGTAAGTTGTCGTTAGGAAACACGTAAAAGTTTCGCACTGGCTCGCGAGGCCACCAACGCCTCATACAGCGCGAGGGGAACCAGGAAACGCGATATTTCACGTTCGGCCGCACATTAAGCATCGTCGAGTGCGTTTATGTGCGTTTCGCTGGAAGGCCAGTCAACGGTGCTAAGGGGAAGGCGCGCAGTCTGTCTCGGCCGCAGACGAATGCGTCACTTTCGAACACGCGATCGTCGAACTACTCCGAAAAACGATAACACTTTCATACTTTCGTCCCAACACTCCAAAGGTATTATAAAACTATTGCCATCGTAATGAGTATGCATCCAGACATAAAAAAGCAATAGAGTTACCGAGTTTTAAAACTTTAAAAAGCAGAAATAACCTTTTAAAATATTTAAAAAATTAGTACGCTAAGATTTATGTACGCCAGAGTTAGTCAGTCTGCCCTTAAAAACTATTTCGTTTCAATAATTAATTTTGCTGATAAAACCTATCGCAAAATGTTACACTTTCGATCACGCGACCGTAGAACTACTCCGAAAAACGAACACTCCAAATTATTTCGAATGCAAATACCGTCTCTGTGTTATAAATGTGTCGTATAACAATACATTGCATTATGTTATTTAGAACATTGGTCCGATCAGTATCGATAAGTGTCACGATATCATAAATATTCAATGAAAAAATTAAGCACAAAATAAGGTGCCACCGACGCATAGACAGCACTTTCTAGAAGTTCACAAACGTTTAACCGTGGCTAAACACCCGGCAGGTAAATGTTAATCGCGACCATAACTATGATTAAGGCCTGACTGATTGAGCGCGGCGCATGGCAATAATTACACCGTCTGGAAGTAATCAATGGTTGGAATTACTTTGTTACGTATATTTGATATGTTTATTATCATCTCAGCTTAATTCGAGGCAATTACCTCGTTGAAGTTGGACGGCTGCGTGTTTAACAAGACACCGGTCCTCAGTTCTAGCTGGTGAGGAATTAATTTGGAATGTGAAGTATGGAAACATTTCATTCAGATGAATTTCAATGATGAAACGGAGGCGGATTTCTTAAAACTATACAGAGATAAAAACTTAGTAAAACCGTTTTTAAATGTGCTGAATTTTTGAGTTATTTTTTCTACTTGAACTTACGAAAAACGGAAAATTTTCATGAGATGAAATAAGAGCGACATGTGTATAGGTGACGATAAAATGATTTAGTTAGAACACTCAAAATAAAAATCACTATAAATAAGAAACAAATAGGATTTGAAAATTTCAAATTTAAATATAACCGCAGATTACAGAGAAAATATAAAAATTCTTTTAAAAATTTACAACGTAGTTTAAAGAAATTACCTCAATTTCTCAAGGCAAATCTTATGAGACCTTACGTGACGATCAAATTGATTGGGAGGTTCAAGCGATTGGTAAAGCTAAATGGTGACACAACAAGGATGTTTGTATTAAAATATTTCTTACTAAACGGCTTACGAGCCGTGATAGCTCAGTGTCCGGGCGCTCGCCTTTAATCAAAAATATACTCGAGCAACCTGAGTTCGATCCCCGGTGCCGGCACCAATGAAGTTTTTAACTTACTTTACTTTTTTACTTTAAACGGCTTAACAAAAATTCAATTTTTTTTAAACAAATATATTTAATCATAATTTTAAAAAAATTAAATAAAAAGTCAAGACGAACACCACAATTTTGGTCCGTCTCAAGTCCATCCAGTTTTTGAAAATCACGGTTTAATTGTAATAGAGATCGCGACTCTTAGCTTAGGGTCCATCAAAATCGAGGAAAAGAGCTTGTCCAGATGGTTCAATATTAGATGAAGCTTTACATAATATTTTTTTTTTATGGGGATAGGAGGCAAACGAGCATATGGGTCACCTGGTGATAAGCGATCACCGCAGCCCATGGACATTTGCAACATCGGTTGAGTCGCAATTGCGTTGCCGGCCTTTAAGGAAGGAATCTTTTCTTGAAGGTCCCTAAGTCGTATCGGTCTGGAAATACCGCTGGCGACAACTCGTTCCACAAAGTAATTGTGCGGGGTAGAAAGTTTCGTGAAAAACGCACTGTGGTGGAGCGCCAAACATCAAGGTGGTGTCGATGGTACTTGGCGGTTTGACGAGTTGTACGATGGTGAAATTCACCAGCAGGTATCAACCCAAACAATTTCTCAGAGCACTCCCCATGATATATCCGATAGAAAATGCATAGAGATGCAACATCCCTACGCAAGGCCAAAGAATCGAGG